AAAGAAATAATAAAGATCAGAGCAGAAATAAATGAAATCAAGACTAAAAAAACAATACGGAAGATCAAGTTGGTTTTTTAAAAAGATAAACAACATCGACAAATCTTTAGTTAGACAAGACAGAGAGAGGACCCAAATAAATAAAATTAGAAACAAAAGAGGAGACATAACAGCCAAGACCACAGAAATACAAAGGATCATTAGAGACTATTACAAACAACTATACACCAACAAATTGGAAAACCTAGAGAAGTGGATAAATTCCTGAACACATACAACCTACCAAGATTGAACCATGAAGAAATAGAAAACTCAACAAATCAATAAAGAGTAATGAGATCAAAGCCATAATAAAAAGTCACCCATCAATGAAAAGCCCAAGGCCTGATGGCTTCACTACTGAATTCTACCAAACATTTACAAAAGAACTAATAATAATTCTACTCGAACTATTTCAAATATCAAAGAGAAAAGAACACCTCCAAACTCATTCTACGAGGCCAGCATTACCCTGATCTCAAAACCAAACAAGGACACAACCAAAAAAAGAAAACTACAGGCTAATATCATTGATGCCAAAATCCTCACCAAAATACTAGAAAACTGAGTTAACGCATTAAAAAGATCATTCACCACGATCAAGTGGGATTCATCCCAGGGATATAAGAATTATTCATCATATGCAAATTAATAAACATACCAAGAACAACAGCCATAAGGTCATTTCAATAGGTGCTGAAAAAGCATTTAATAAAATTCAACATTCCTTTATGATAAAATTCTTCAACAAACTGGGTATAAAAGGAATATACTTCAAAATAATAAAGGCCGTATATGACAAATTCACAGCTCTCCATTGTGTTAGGTATTATAAGAAATCTAGAGATCATTTAATAAAATTCAACATTCCTTTATGATAAAATTCTTCAACAAACTGGGTATAAAAGGAATATACTTCAAAATAATAAAGGCCATATATGACAAATTCACAGCTCTCCATTGTGTTAGGTATTATAAGAAATCTAGAGATGATTTAAAGTGTATGGGAGGATGTGCATAGGTTATATATTTCACATCAGGGACTTGAGCATCATTGGATTTAGGCATCCGGGGGTCCTGGAACCAATGCCCTGCAGATACCTAGGGACAACTGTACTGGGTGTTAGCAAGGGTCTACTTCTCAACTTGGGTGGATGGTTATGGTGTTCCCTTCATAATCACGCATTATACTGTACTAATATATGTTCTAATTGGCTTTCTGTATGTATATTTCACATTTTAAATAATATAAGTGCTGGAGTAGTTAAATAAGAAGTTTCTTGATACTTCTCCTTTCTTATTACTTCCCAAGCTGATTTCCAGCTTGTTATTGAGGGCTACTTGCTAGCCAAATTGTATCAGATGTGTGTATTATGAGGCGTGGTGTTAAAATAAGAACTATAAATATTTTAGCTTACTTAGATATCTCTGCAGTTGAGTCAATAGGCTGATACTCATGTATAAATATAAGTCTGTCATTCTAAGACAAAAAATAAAAGAATAGTATGAGAAGAGTGAAGAGTGATCCCATTTTTGTTTCATACACACAAATGAATGTATGTGCAAACAAAATAGCATTTCAGAATAGATATAATCAGTGTTTCTGCTGGTCTTTCTTTCTTTCTTTCTTTCTTTCCTTTCTTTCTTTCTTTCTTTTTTTCTTTCTTTCTTTCCTTTTTTTCTTGAGACGGTGTCTCACTCCATTGCCTGGGCTAGAGTGCCGTGGCATCATCATAGCTCACTGCAACTTCAAACTCCTGGCCTCAAGTGATCCTCCCTCCTCAGCCTCCCAAAGTTCTAGGATTACAGACATGCGCCACAGTGCCCAGCCTGGACTTACTTCTTATTACATGTTTCTTTATTCCATATATGGCATAAATGTTTTTAATAATGAATGATTTTCATAGCCAGGGTAAACAACAAAGTACTTTCCTTAAAAAATTATGCACACACAGTATGAAGTCTGTTCAGAAAGTATCCAGCCACGTAATATGAAAAATAGAGACATTTATTGAAGTAGATACAAGATACAAGAAACATTGTACATAGGACAATGATGCCTCAGTCCCCTTCAAAGTAGGCACCTTGGGATCTCACACAGCTCTCCCATTGTCTCTTAACCTAACCCATACACGTTCAACATTTTCAGGTGTTCTGCTTGTTGCAGGCCTTCCAGAACATGGATCACTTTCAACAGATTCTCAACCATCTTTGAAGTATTTGGGCCACACTTTTATTTGGGCTGCATTCGTTGCATCATCCCCGAAAGCCTCCTGAATCATCCGAACAGCTTCCTCAGAGGAATGTTCAAGCTTAACACAAAATTTGAAGCAGATTTGTTGCTCTACTTGCTCAGTCATTTTGAATGCGACAGACATTGTACACATGCCCACTCAGCGTCTAGTGCCACTGACTAGTACAGTGACGTTGTCTTTGTTCGGGCATGCGCACGCATCCCAGTCCTCTCTCCTTGGCTGCCAGGTTACATCAATGTTGGGCAAACAGTTCTCATTT